GCAACATAAAAGAAACTCAATTCAGAACACATTACCAGTACAAATAGGTATATACTTTAGGGATGATGAAACTGCACAATTATTTTGTAAGATACATATATCTTGACACAGTTTTCAGGTTGCTTCTATGGTATTCTGAATTTATTTTCTCTAGTCCATTTCCAAACTGTCTGTAGCCTTGGGTTCACAGGAAGTGGCAGATGAATTACAGAGATGCAAAAACTGTCCCCTCACTGGGGAAAATGCTTGGAGTATGGAGAACTTTTTTGGGCTATATTTTTAACAGTTCTGATATGCTTCCTGATGCATTTACACTGGTCACTCTTGGGCAGCAATAAGGACTTCTGTCTCATCTGCTGAGTAAACTGAACTTTTGATCTGATCTTACATTCTTAGGTATGTAAATAGATAAAAGAAATCTAACACACATTTTAAATTGCAGGACTAATACTTAAGTATTTGTCAGTATGTTTTTCCCTACCCTACCTGGATACCGAAAACAGTTCTTTTTAGAATTATACAGGCTATTATATCAAAACTGCTTTCAAATCCAAATTAGCAAATTCCCTACCAGTCTTCTCTAAGCAGGTTGTTCCTGCCCCTCCGCTTTCCCTACAACAAACAAAGTTGTAGGTGTTTGCTTGATCATTCTTAAAAGGAAATCTAGGAAATTGTCTGGCCTGAGAACCCTTCCTTTTGAGAGTACTTTGTTTGTCATTGTTAGCACAGATCAATACCCAGGTCTGAACAAGCAGATACATTGTGCTGAATAAATTCTGACTGTTCTAATCTTGGGATGCAGAAGAGGTTAGTAGGGGTGGGTGTCTGGAGTCAGGTCTGGGGGAATTGCACCTTGGCCAGAGTTGCTGAGGGTAACTCAGAGTAACTGACTATACCTTTAGAAGTTGCCACATTTTAAGAGCCTGACATGTATGTCTTCAGCATATTAATAACCAGCTTATTATTCAGGGAAGGATATTCTCATTTGAAATGAGAATGGTGCTTTTCCAAAAAAAAATTTGTATTTTCCAAAATTTCTTGCAACCTTTAACAGAAATTTCTATTAAAGCGTTTTTCTATCTCATACATAGTCTAACAGAAAATTAGAGATCCATCTCTACCTCAAGGAAAACAAGTTTCTTTTGATTGTCAATAAGAATAATATTATGTTAATTAAAAAACTTTTTGATAATACAGAGATGGATAACACTGCCATGATGGTGCTTTATTTCTAAGTCTGCTTTTTAAATGAATTGTGTTTATTGAAGTGAAAATTATTTACAGTTTAATAATAACATTTTTAGCCATGGTTGTCAATGCTGAAGTGTCTGCACTTGCTTATTATTTACAGATCTTTTTTTCCAGTTTTGTGCACTAGATTTCTCAGCTCTTTTTGAAACTCACAACTAATGCCAGCAGTGTCAAAAAATAAAATTCTCTCTTTTTTTTGTAACAATAATTTCTAGTAAAACGGACCAAAATATGACAAAACATGCAGCTGTCAGATAATGAATAACACGAAAAAATGAAGAACGTGATCAGTCATAACTGTTGTAGAAAGAAATTAAGCCAAAAACATATTAAGCCTGCAAGAAAGAATTAACATTCTCTATGTCTTTTGTGAAAATACCCTACATCTTTAGTATATTGAAAATATGCATTGTTAAAGACTACAAAATAATCTTTCACTATGTCTGTTGAAGATCGTTGCTTTTCTAGACAAATGTTCATTCTTTTCCAATTATTAAAGATAAACATTAGTGATAAGACTTGGACTGGCAAAAATAATTGCAATAAAAAAGGTACTTGAGATATTTTCATCCTTTCTAAAGGATTCTGAAGCTGATATTAGTCCCATTGCCTGAAGAAACCCATTGTCATTACTCGTACTTCTATTATCTTTGCTTTCAATTTACATCTCTAGGAAAGTGAGCTTTGATTTCTTTCAGATCATAATTATCATTAGGTTTTTCTTCTTTCACAACTAGTCAATGTCCTTGCCACTCCCCTTGAGTTTTTTTCCAATATTTAATTGCATTGTAATACCAGCAATCTTCTTATTTTTTCCAGTTACTCTATTCCATTATAAAGTAAATTTTATGCAAACCTTTTAGCATTCACAAAGGATGCTAGTCAACAAAGCAAAAGTGTGAAGGCTTGTCCACACACTAAAGTTAAATATGGTAATTTTTAAACAAATTCTCATCCTGTTCATGAAAACTGCAATAACTGTGGATTAAATCCAATATGAATAGTTAAAAAGCAGGCATAGCATCCCATAACGCACATTTCCAGAGTGAAATTTGAGAGAGGTTTTCTATAAAAATGTGAAAAATATTAATCTGTTCATCTTCTAGAGACAGCAGTAGTGTATTGCACAATCTCACTGTGTCTTTTTTTTTTTTTTTTAGGATGTTCAAATGCCATAAGCATAAGAATCACCTAAAGAAAGATCATTCACTAAGCTATTGATAAAATTCCTACTCAGAAGGGAAAGGACTTTGATGCAGAAATGGTCCTTTACATATACCAGAGAACACACCATAACTAAAATATTTGTTTCTGATTTCATGGATCTAGCTAACACTTTGATACCCAAGAAGTTTCCTGGTTTATTTGTGTAGCGGTCCTCCTTTGGGTCCAGTCCTAACAGCAGCCTTGTTGGAAAAATGACCAATGCAATGCTTTGTTTTAGAAAGCTTTTCTTCTGGAAGTCTTATTTCTGGACCATATAGACAACAGCACACATTAGTTAAGAAAAACTACTCAAATTGATCTGCACCTTGTACTGGGAGAACAGATGTTTGTGAGAGTGTTCCCTGCAGGAGATCACCTGAGCCCTTGGCTCACCTCCCAGGGCTTTGCCTTCTGCGCTCATGAGCTTTAGCTCTGGGAATAAATTTCACTGCCTAAATAGAAAAACTGTTGACTAGACTGTATCACAGAGCTCTCAGAAAACTTTTGTTTAGGCTAAAGTGTTGGTAATTCAGCTTTTGATGTTTATACAATTTTAAGAGAAGTCTGCAGAGAGGCAGGAACAGCTCTGAGGGGCTCAGAGCTGCCTGTCACTGAACAGACATGCAGTACTCTGCACTGGCATTTCCAGGGGATTGGTGGCTGCAGGCCACGTATATTGTATTTCTGTAGCCCAGTAAAAGAGGTGACAAAACCAAGTATAAACAAGGCCAGATCCCAGCTGCCAGAATGAAATGGAGACCTCTAGTTACTTGGAGATGGTAAGTTATTTGAGGATGTTGCTATATGAAAGCTTATTGATATACTCAGAAAGGGGTACTATCTTCAGCAGTCCCAGTCAAGGAAGAGCTTTTAGCAGGGAGACAGAGATGGGAAGCCTTTTCCTCTAAAAGACAAAGGAATGATCTTGAGGACACATCCAGGAAATGGAAAAGACCACTCAGAATTTTTTTACTTCTCAGGCAGATGAAGCATGTTTGAATTTGGGTCTTTTCACATCTGTGTGGCTGAGTTAACCTGTAAGACACCAGACCCTTAGGAATCACAAGCTCCTTGCCCATTTCCTTCACACCAAAGATAGAAGTCCCTCTCAGGATTTGTCTCCAGAGCTAGGTTATGAGCTTTGAATAGTAAGGAAAATGTTCCAAACCAGCAGTTAGATACTTAGCTCCCTGGATGGAAGACTTTTAGGTCCAAACAATTGTCTCATTTCATCACTTCCAATTAAGTAGCTTCCACCTTATTTGGATGGTTTCTCTGAATTGTGTTTCTACAGACTTATGTCCCAATGCAAAGGGTTAGGCCCGAGTGTGTCACTGATTTCCAGAGAAGCAGGGATTGCAGTGCTGAACATGGTGTTGTCCATAGTGTTTTTTATGGGTAATACCTTCCCAGACATGAAGAATCTTCATGGTACTTCCAGCCTGGCCAGCTACACTGGCCCATGGTGAAAAAACATGGATGTACCTAGCATCCCTGCAAACAATAGTCCACAGCTTCAAACTCTGTGCACCCCTTTTTAAAACTAACAATGCATTTCTCTCTCTGGGAGAAGAGACAGAGTGGTGCTGAACATTTTACAATTCTTACTGGTGGGGTAAACAGATGGAATGTTTTCCTACACTGTCTATAAGTTTTCCTAAAAATGAAGGATCACCCATAGAAAGATGATTCATCCTGGTCTTCAAGCCTATTAATTCCTTGGATGCTCTATTGAGAATGACAAAATATGTCACTAAATAGAAGCTTGATCCAGTTCCAATTAACTTCAGAGAAAACTGGAATGTGATCTCAGCAGCAACTGGGGTAATAGATTCTTCAACACAGGCATTTACCTCTTGAGAAATTGATGAATATCAAATTCAGATCACATGGGGCTGGTTCCATATCCTACTATTCTCAGCCTTTGCTCCATATGGAGAAAAAACACACCCTAGTTTTGAAAAGCTTTACATCGTATCATCAATAACTCAAGCCTTCTAATACATTTTCATTTTGATTTAATAGAAGTTGAACTTTAGTTTTATGTTTCATCATAACAATTTAAATATCTATAAAGATTTATATTATAAATCCTATTTACTTCACTTGTCTGCTTTAAGAATTCAATTATAACTAAGTACTTTTTCTGAAGACTCAGAATCAGGCCTTATTTTAGAGTCCTGTGTTGGCACAAGATAAAATGCTTTTACGGTGCCTCATTATTTCTCACTATATATTCTTTCCATAGTATTCTATAGTATTATTTTTGATTTTTATTTCTATCCAGACATACATATAACTCATTGATATTAACAACAGTCCCACATGAAGGGTAAGGATACAGATAATATATCTATAATTCTATTTTTTATGATAATTTTTAAAAATTTCTGGGTAATAATGGAATACTCAAGAAGTCTCACAGAGCAGCAAACAGCACAGCAAGTATTATTACTTGAGTTTCTTTTATATCACAGATATACTAGTTTATTCTTAAAATAGGTGCAAAGTATTTTCCCTCTATAGTAAAGCAACTGACCAACCTTTTTTCATGGAAGGTTCCACTTCACCTAAACCAAGAGAAGAAAACAAATGTCAGAGAAAAGATTTTTAAAAAAAAACCAACATTTTTTCCTCATGTTTTCTCATTTTAATTTCAAAAAATAATTTCTCTTCTTTATATGCTAAATGGTAAGCGTCTATTCTGAGATTTTGAATTTTTCATAAAGATTCTCTTACCATAGAGTTTTGGGTGGATAAATTCAAGGTGCACTAGTAACTAAGGAAAGATCCAAATCTGCGTTTGTGCTTCTGAATATTAATTTGTAACTACAATTTACAATTTGCTTTGTTTTATGCACATTTCCACGTTTTAAGGAAAGGCCCAGTAGTCTGGGTTTAGTTCCAAATGACACAATGTATATGCAGTTTTAGAAGATTGTAAATCTAGCAATGCTTCCAGTGAAATCCAAGGCAAAAAAAATAAACTATTTCGGTGGAACTATGAACACTTGATTGCTGCAGTATGTTATTCCACCTCCATGTAGGACATGACAATTTAAACGCCTGAGCCTGAATGACTGCGGTTAGTGTGCAGCCTCAGCTGCACTGACTGCAGCACAGAGCTCACATGCACTTAGTTTTTATATACAGTGCTAATATATTTATTACATAAGATGCCTTACTGCCTTTTCATACTGCTGGTTGATATTGATGAAATTCCACCTGGGCTAAAAGCTGCTAGGACTAAGGTCTCCAAACACCTAGTGAGCATTCAGATCTTGCATTTTTCTGTGTCCGGTATTTTATGACCTTTCATACTGCCATTAACACTTACACACTCAAGTATTTGAAAGCTTGCAGGTTCTTTGGGAGCTATTAAACTACAAGAATGAACTCTGATCAAATTTTACCAAGCTCTCCATATTTCATCTTTTCTGTTTCTCAACCATCTGAGAGGCTGGCTTTCTACTAGTTGTAAATCTTATCTCAGAATAGGATGCCCAGTTCACAGACTCACATGCAGCAGCCTCTTAGTGTTCATATATGATGCTAATGTAAGGAGCTCATGAACATATTTAAAAAGTAGAAATTTGATGACATGTAAAGTTTATGAACAAGCAGGCAGAATTCAATTTCAGTACATGTTGCTTTTTAATTATATTCTGGTATAGCCAAATTAATGCTCTTTACTTTAAGATGTAGTAATGGTAATATTTAATTCTGACAGCTTTTCTGTAATGGTACATTAAACATGAGATGAAAGCTAACAAAGAGACCAACTTACTGATCGGAATAGCCAGTAGATGCTTTATGAGCAACAATGTTACTTTTCATTTTGTTTGATCTTGTCTGTGAGGTTAAAAGCTGAGTAAGCCAGCATAATGCGTGTAAAACAGCAGTTAGAGCAGTTACAGAAGTCTTTACATTACAAATACCTTCATCACTGTCATCATCATCATCACTCCATACGATGTCAGACAGTAAAGAAAAAAAGCCATAAATCCAATCAGCAGATTCTTCCAGTGTCTCATGAATGATTCTCAGTGGTTCTGTGCTGAGCTTGTTAACAGATCTTCCTGAGTGCAGAGTATAAAACAAAAGCGGTTTCAAAAAAAACCAACAAATAACTCCTTCAGTGATAAAAGTTAATCTTCATTTTATACAGGACTAATTAGACCACCTCTTTTAACAGAAATAAGGATTGTGAATGTTAATTTTTATTATTAGAGGATTTGAGGACAGCTCTCCTTCCTATGCAAGACTGGTATAAACTGTATCCTATTGCACTTGCTATTTGCAGAGTGATTAGGGACTCAGTGTACAATTTGGTCTGATCCTGTACTCCAGGTTCTGGCTCTCCTTCTGAGGCTTGGTTGGACAAAGTATAAAAGTAGATTTGTTTCTACCTAACATTCATTGTTTTAGATAAGCTCTTGCTTTCAGCTGCTTTTTTTTTTTCTTTGAGTCAGGTCCTCTACGTCTTGATGCCTGTTTAGGATTCAGTGCCATCAATTTCCTGCTCTTCATATCACATGTCCCCCTGAACCTGTTCCCTTACACAAGTTCTGACTAAGGAAATTGCTGAGTGCTGATTTATTTACTTTGTTTATTTTCATTGACTTCATGCATTGAGATGTAGAGATTTAATTTTTTCAACTGATTTGCCGCAGATACTCTTCTAAAGCATTAACCAGGAGAATGAACAACTAATTTAGGCTATTAAAAAATAAATCTATGACCCAAAACTCACTTCATTCTAATCTAGAGATGCTGAGGAGTAGAAGTCGACTAATAGAGTAGACATGGTCAGAAGTGTCTTAGCATAACAAATGTTTTGATTCACAAGCAGGGAGGGTTGAACTTTGGACAGCTGCCTTGATTTCCACTGTGGATACCCACCCTCCTTTTATCTACTGGTTGCTTACAGAGGGTTCAGTTGTTTTTACAGCCACAGGCTTTTACAGCCCCAGGGAATACAGCTGAAAACTAAACAAGAACTGGTATCAATTTATTTGAATATACTCATCTATCAAGTAGCAGTTCAAGAACTGCTTCACAGTTAGCAGAGCTGTCTCCCGTGGGCAGGCAAGGGAGATGCTCAGAGAAAAGCAAGATCAAGAGCAGAGGAAATTATTCCAACCACCCCAAGGCAAGCCCTCTTTGCTCATGAATCAGTCTTCAATATCATATCCTGGTCTTTAATTCATGACAGCTTCATACCCCACTAAGAAAAGGTATTAGAAATTATATGTCTCTGGAGGCAAAATTTTCCGCTCATACCCACACTAACAGGCCCAAGTTGCAAATCCTGTTTAACGCACGAAGTTTAGAAAAATCAGTTTGGAGCTGTATAGATGACACTTTATTGGTGTTTGCAAAATGAAATTTTGTATTCAAACCGATACTGTGATCTCACTTGAGGTCTGATGCAAGTGGCACAGGCCTGGAAAATTATCTCCCGCACAGATCTTCTGTTTAACTTGTATTTCCAACATTTTTGAATTGTAATGCTAACAGTAATGATGTGTCCTAAAATTCTGAAGAACATGATAGCAGCTAATGCTAAAGTGAAAATTACAACTGATTAAATCCATGCTTTTAGCTCTACCCACAACTTTGACAACAGGTTCTACTAGGTCCCTAGTAGAACAAAACACACTAGAAAAAAAAGAAATTTAGCAGTTCTAGTGGTAACAAGTACAGAGAAAGATTCCATTTATCTCAAACACATGCAAAGAAAGTCAACCATTCCCAGAAGATTTGCATATTCTTGCTTCAGGAGTGAAGACGAAAGAATGCAGATTTTCATTAAAAAGTTTGAGTTTGATATTTTCATGTAATTTGATTTCATTTTTTTTTAATTTACAAATGTCCAACAATGGAATAGTATGATGAGATTTTTTTAAGATAGTTTTGCATTCAGTATATTCAGACTGGATCAGCTGTCTTCTGTCCAACTTTTCATTTCTTAGTAAACCTTAGAACACTAATTATTTAAAAAGTAAGCTCACAATTTTCTTTTTTTTTGCTAGCATATGTTATATAGTGTGTAATATATAATTTGTAACTAATCTATAGCTATAAACTATAATTAATAGATGACATATCATCTCTAAACTATTGTGCTGAGAGTAGAAGGGGCAGGATCTTGAATTTAAACTGTAAATAGCTTTTATGAATACAGAGTATTTCTCAGACAGATACAGGCTGTGACGTTCCGCCTTTTGCTGAACTTTTAAGTAGCGACTGAGCCAATCATTTCCCTTAGATAATGTAGTAGAAAAATTACTAAATGCCTGTTGAAGGAGCAAGGAGGGGAAAGGAAGTAAATGGATACTCATGAGGTTAAGCTTAGGCATGAAACATACAATTAATATTGAAGAATTTTGTTGACAGTATGTAATTTCCTTTCATCGCGGCTTTAAGTTTAGATTATCCTACCTAGGCAAATGTACCTGAGATGTTATTGAATCCCTGGTGGTTTCTAGACTCCCTCAAAAGCCAATGCAGATAAATGTATTGTGAACTTCTGAAGGCAAGTCTCTTGCTTTCCACTGAAATCTTTTTTAGTATTATATGAATTAATTTCCAAAGATGTCAATTTCTTTCCATTGACTAGAAAGGAAAGGAAGCCTGAAAAATAAGCATGGACATGACATCTTATTTTCATATGACTGAGGTATGGATCCTATTAGTGATGTCATGGATCCTATTAGTGATGTTATTTCATATTTAAATCCTATTTGTCATTGTACACTTAGGTTAAGCACTTAGATCTGTAACTTTACACTCATAATTAATTCCAGGTCAGTACAACTATTCACATTGATAAATTACTTACATTCTGCAACACTGGTGCCAACAAAAAGGCTTGGCTAGAACATTTTGTTTTGTCATGTTTTTTTATTACTTGGTATAACATAAGAGATGTTTTGTAGATCAGTTAAAGTTTATCTGTACTTCTGCTAGCATGATCACTGTGATGAGAATAATTAACAGTTTTGCCTTTTCGTTTTCAGTGAGAAGTCAAAATTCTAAGTCCATAACTTTCTGGAAAATGTTGAAACTTGTAAGAGTTAAAGCTGACTGAGAAAGAATCCCAATCAAATTAAAGGACTTTGTATGTTACTTTTCAACAAAACCTTATTGTAGGAAAACTCAGTTGTAGGAAGTTGGAGAAAGCTTTTTATCTACTATAGATATCTGCATAACAATTTGGAAGCTTGTTTGGATTTTCTTTACTAAAAATATGCAAATTTCTTTAAAATAATTCTCTAAGAAATAATTCTCTAAGAAATAATTTCGGACATGTTATAGGTATTTAATACTTCTAAAAACTCCCTATGTAATTTGAAGCTGGTACATCAAATTCTTTGTAGCTCTCTAGCATTATTGGTACAGAAACAGTAATTTGATTAAAAATGTGAAAACAAGAATTCTGAACAATTAATTTCTTCATTTTTTAAGTCTCCTTGGCTCACAATTTTAACTCCAATTGATTTGAAAATTGAATTCATAACTTTAATGATAATTAATATCTCACACTTAACACAGCTCCTTGAAACCAACCAATGACAGATTTCTCATGTCCTGCAATTGGCATTAAGTGTGTTCGTGGGATAGAAGATAATTTTGATAAAGTGACAAAGTAACTTCAGTAAAATTGTGGTATGTTTGAACAGAAAAATGCTTTGTTTCATAATGGGTCCTTTAACAGTGACTTTTGGAAACAAGAGTTGAGTAATCACATGGTATAATTTGCTGTAGCGCCTCAAGCAAATTTGGTTATGTTTCATGGTCTGTGTCATCTATTCCTATGAAGTGCACTACAATAAGTGACTAATTGATTTATCTGTGCAAATTACTTCAGTAATTATTCCAGTCTTAATAACTTTACCACAAATATAGTCCCCTATAAATCTTTTTTGTTTGTCAAATTGTTAAATACAAATTCAGAGTTCAATCTATACTAAAGTGGCCTTTTTTTTAACAAATTACAGCAAATTAGATAATAATTGTTAGATTTTCATCAATTACATATTTTGACTTCAGTGAATTGAATGCAATTAAATTACAAATGATGGTAATTATCTGGTGTAAAGATTGATCTATGAGATATAAACTACTTCATTGATACTGACAAGGTACAGATGATGAAGACAGAATTTGTGTCATGTTTGATAAAATACAAAAGCCTAACACTAGTTTGTGATAAAGCATATCCTATTTTTAGTAAAAAATAAAATAATTAAATATGGAGACCTATATTTTAATTTGAAAATTTATATCTCTTAAGTTTAGTAGTAATAGTACTTTATTTCTACACTGTGAATTAAGATACTAAACTCAATACAAACTTAAAATCTTCCGTTATTAATATTCCAGTTTATCAACATAGCTGTCCTTAGGTCTTATCTTTCTGTTTCAGAGACTAACATTTTTATAGCACTAAGCTTAAGCACCAGAAAAAAACTTGGACAGGTGTCATTGAAATATAAGTATAAAAATAATGATTTAATTTTTATACTTATAAGTATATTGAATTATTGCATATAAAAACAATACCAAAAATGCAGACTAAGCATTTCCCAGTAATTTCCATTTTATAAGTACTTATATTGTAAATATGAAGACTACAACCTGTAGTTTAAATCTTCCCTGTCTCTTTCTAATATCAGCCTTAGATAATTGTATTGAGGTCAAGTCCATAGAGAAAACCTCACCTGAAAGCGGACAAAGAAGTAGGCATAACTAGAACCTACTCACCAAAATTTAGAAAGAAATTCACAAACTGTCATAAAGTATCAGATAATTTCAGGTACTTTTGATATAGCTGTACACGTGGACAGGAGTGTATGTTTAGGATGGGCTTTACATGTAATTTATATGGCTTGATTTAGTCTCAGCTGGAAGGTTTTGATTTGGTTGGTAAGACCCTCATTAGGTGGCTTTTTCTGAAACAGACAGACATTTTATCTAAAATAATTTGAAGCTTTATTTTTTCCTCATTCTATGGGTTCAGTTCTCTGACTAAGAACACAGATCTTAGCTTCAGGTTAAAAAGCTGTTAAGTAATTGTACAATGGCATTTTTAAAGGACATTTAAAGTGTAAAATTAGTATCTCAGCTTGACACCATTTTCTGGGAATCGCCTGACTGGAGTCAACTCTTAGCAGTCAGGTCTACTTCAAGCACAATGTGAAAATCAGGAATAGGCTGTTGCAATGAACTTTGCAGCCCCAGCCATCCAGAGTTGGGGTTAGCTGAGAAGCAAGGCTGTGCCACATCCTGGCACTCTGCTTGTGCCCATGCTTTGTTATCATCGCACACACGTATTCAGAACACTGCAGGCAGAAGGTCTTTACCAGGTGGTAAACAGGGATCATCGCAATGTTGTGAATAGGTGTCTATAGCTGATGGCAACAGGATGAACCCCAGAAAGGCCAATAAAAAAAAAAAGGAAGAAACACCATTAGCAATAATGAACATTCTCAGCTGTCTCTTGGTTAAAGGAAACACTTAAGGAGTGAAGTGAGGAGTTTTTTTAATCTCTGTGGGGCTGCTGTTATGAAGCAGAAATTGGAGTTCATTCAAAAAAACCAGTATGATCTAGGTGTAAGATAATACAGTATGAATCAGAGCAATGTGAAAATATGATTGAATAAAATACAGGTATTTTCACAAGTTACAAACAAATTCTATTACCAAAAAGAATAAATCACATACAGTTGATTCTAGTCGAGTTACTTCAATTTCTTCAACAGCAAATAACCAAAGAGTTGCATCACTGCAATTGTTACTGAAGTGAATTACTGGTTTGGTTTGCTTGTTTAAAATTAAAAATTTCACAAATACCATTATGCACCTGAAATTTGGTTTGTGTTTTTTATCCCATGAAGCATATTTAAGCATGAATTCTCCACTTAAATCCTTCCCTATTCATGAAGACAGTTTCTAAAATTTCATATTTTCAACTTCATGACTTCATGAAGTTTGATCTATCGTAATTTATCATCTTTTATATGCTAGACCTTTTGGGATGAATGCAGCACTTGCAGCACTGCAATACTTCATAGACTGTCATTCTTTCCAGTGTAAACTCATTTTCTAGGGGTTTATAACTCAGCTATGAGATCCACTGCAGAGTGAAACATGGCAAACCAGATGTCATCTGGGCAGCCCTTCTTTAAACTGGAATTTGGCTTAAATTCCTTTAGTTGTTTTTATCATTATGAAAGAGAAAAAATATTTTGTAGGTTTTGGGTACATTAGTTGAAGTCTCGTATAATTCAGTTAAGAATTTCATTAAGAATTTTGAAATAGATAAGCTGTTTAATCATGCTTTGGATTGGCACTTGTAAATACAGTAAAAGTTGTATTTCAGAAGACTGTAGCACTGTTTTGATAAATTCCAGGCTAAGAGTTGGACTTGATGATCCTTGTGGATCCCTTCCAAATCACCCTACTCTGTGATTCTGTGATTTGCCTAGGTTTTTGCATGTTTGAAAAAGAGACAAAATTATTTGTTCCACTAAATTTGCTGGTGCTTTAAACTCATACAGAAGTTCATTTTTTTCTTAAATAAGTGCAGAGGTATTATCAGCTTTAACATTGGTGAATATGTTGTAAATATAAGAGCATATATAAGTACACTTTTTTTTGCATATCTTAAAATTTCCAGTGAACATGAGCCCAACAGGATGACTATAGTGAGATAATATTACAGGAGAAAAATGTGTGTATATATTCCTAATAATTATTATCTCACAAAAAAATAGAAAAAAAAGAAGAAAAGAAAAGAAACCCAGTAGAATAGCCATATTTTGCTGAATTCCATGTCTCCTAATGAAAAAATGCTCTGGACCTAATAGGTTTTGCATCTTACAGTTTTACTGTGAAGGAGGCTAGGGAAAATAATGTCCATGTCAGTAATAAAATACAAGTGGTTTAGAGTCATGTTCTTTACTTTTGTGCATCTTTTTGTTCCAAAATATAGATTTTTATGTGACAAATGGTTCTCTAATTTTCATTTGTTTTCCTCTGCTGGAGAATAATAATAGGTATATTCTATGCATACTACCCAGGGCCAGCCAAAACTTTCTGTGATTACAAGACAGTAATAGAAATGACCATGAGTTCAGGAAGAGAAATGGTGCCTTCAGGCTTTGTTATTCAGAAGCTAGTATGGGAGAACCCACAACAATTTGGTCAGATGTTCTGTCATTATCTTAAAAAGAAAAAAAATAATTAAAGAAAAAAATTACAGACAGCATCTAAGTGGATAGGAGCTTCATGCCTCCATCTCCTGTTAGCTCCCCATTTCTCTCATTGACAGGTATTACCTCCACAGAGATCTGCTTTGCTTCAGGTGTCTAAAAAGCCTCTTGATGGCTGACCAAAACAAATTATCCACAACAAAGAGCCTATTCTTTTTTTCATTTATGAAAGCAGTCGTGATAAAATGCTAAGCTCATCCTGCTAGGAGTGTGTGAGTGTGTGTTTTCTATATTTTCACTTAGATTGTTTTGTGGGTAATTTTGGGTTTCCTAGATTTGTTGAGGTTTCATTAGGTTTGATTTAGTCTGGCCTTTAGGTGACTGGCTAAATCACTATCAATTTTCTCTGAATATTGAACACTCTGAATCTGAAATTAGGATGGTGTTAATTGGTTGTAATTGGTCACAGAGATGGCAGGGAATTTTGAACACTCTATTAGCCCATTACCAAATGTGAATTCCTGGGTAATTAATCTTTAAGACTAAAATAATCTTAAAGTATTTAGTTACATTTACCAATTAAAATATATAATCCAGTTATACATGCAAGAAATGTATGAAATATATTCATGAATTATGAAGCCAATTAAAAAGGTGTATTTTCTAACACAAAGGATGGTAGTAATAAACTCCTGCAACACACGCATCAAAACAAATTTTTTTATGCATATCTGAAGATATTCAAAATGTATGAGACCATTCAATGTAGTATGATACTTATTGCATATTCATGCACACTATGTACTGCATAAGATTTTTGGTTTCTTATCTCAGGCTTTTGTATTGCATGTCACCTTCATACCACACTACAAATATTTCAGTCATGTTTATAGTTGTACAATACAGCATGATAGGAATGCAAGTTTTCATTTCTTTCCTCAGAGGAATGAGCATAATACACTAAAGCACAACACTGCAAAAATTTAGTTTCCTTCTTCTGGGTAGATAGAACTGGGGTGAAACTTTCAACACTGATCTAATTTTTGTCTCATGCTTTCCTCAAAATCCAATGCCAAAGCTAAAGATGATTTGCAGGTTCGATCTTTGTTCTAACCTCTAAACAAACTAATGCATAACCACCAAGGAGGCACAGCTTTACACATGCAACCTGTAACAGAGTTCTCCTCTTATGGTATATTTTATATCATAACCAGCACCTCCTGAATAATACAGAGTACTATAGTATTTACAGTCATCATGTTCTGGACATGTAGAATTACACAAAAATATATTGTAAATCTTTTTATGAGTGAAGCTTGAACTCATGTAATCTAACTTCAGTTACCTGAACCTTCAGTGTTATCCACGCTCGGCCTCTGTCAGTTCTAAAAGCTACTTTTCAAATACTGAGTAAAAAGGCATCCCACAAAAGTAATTTACCACATTTACTTTAGGATGAAACTAAGCACCATTTTTTCATATAGTTACTCGCGGGACAAATTTCATCCTATATAAATTGTCAAATTTCCCCAACTTGATAGTTTACTTCTAAAAGAACGTGAAACCATAGTAATCAAAAGCAAAATCTATGGGTTGGCACTCTAATCACAGAAGGCAGTGTGAAGTTCATACTGATAAATTAAAAAAATACATAAGAGATAAAATGCATATGCTAATACTATATGTCTTTTTGGAACTATTTGTCTTTTAGATAATGAGATAAAAATTGCTAATTATTGAAGGAAAACAATGCTCCAGTTTAAAGTACTTTCTACTCTGCTGATGTGTTGTACTTCTACTGACCTCCATGACTATGTGTTGTCTAGGTAACTCATAATTTAGGGCATTGCACTTCCTTTATTGCCCAGAGGCTAGTGGCTCTGTAGTGTAATCAGGGGGACCAAATCCATGTATATTCCTCAGCCACACAGTTCCCAGGCAGGTTTACTATGCCAACCTGCTCTTGTTTTCTGGTGCAGTCAGTCCTATGCAGTGGAATTACTGCTAACAGCTGTGCTATGGAAACAGTCATTTCTGGCACAGAAACATAGTGGAAGTCCCTGGTGGGAGGCCATGGATGAAAGTCTTCTGTTATTGTAGCTCTCCTTCAAAAATCTGCAGACTAGGCCATCCCTCCCTCTCCTTTTCTCTAGACTGAGTTCAACTCTCTCAGCTTGCCTCATTCATATGGTATGCATACTTTCTAAACTTGAACTTCATGGAACTTCAGGTAGAGAAATGGGAAAGAAATTGAATGCACTGACTTATGAAAGGCAAGTGTTCTTTGAGGAAAAACACAAGGAATTTTCTGTGTTTTATGGATTAAAAAAGTATGCAGTTGAATATAATTTCTTTGGCATCTTTCCTTTGCATTTGAAAACTAGGAAATTAATTTTAATCATGCTTGAAAACTATATTTACAGTCCTGAAAACAACTATTCATGCTTTTTATGCAGGTCTGATTCTTCAAAGAACAGTGTCAAACTCAAGAGAAAATATCACTGGGTTTTAGATTTAAGGAGTCACTTATATATGCTCCAAATATGCTCCAAATATGCTCCAAATTCTACTTTCTATGTGAAAAGAAGGCAAAGGGCCTTCACTGGAGGCAAAGGGCCTAGCTGTCCAAGAGTGAAAATCATTCTAGTATTAATAATGACAGTCAGGTGATTCTATGTGAAATCTTCAGCTATTTTAATGGAATTTTTATAAATCAGTGGGTTTAACTTGAAGTAGGAACTCCAGAAGTAAAACCAAACCAAGAGTTATGGTAAGAGCTACGTAGCTATTGTTAAATTTATGTAAATACAGAAAACAGTCTAATACATCCTCGTCTAAAGAAGTACAGTAGTTTCTTCTCTTAACTGTTGACCATCAAGACCTGATTTAAATGCTGGCTTAATTAATCACTTAATTAATATCATTGGAAAAGAAAAGAAATGAATTCATAAACTCAAAGTACTAAAGTATCATCTCTCAGAGACCTCCACAAAATGCAAACTCACCCTTCAGATTAAATATTATTTTATTTCTACATCCTGGTCTGAAAATGTCAGTTTCCATCAACATTGGTGACGTTTAAACTCATTTAGTCAATATAATATGAGCAGAATTACATCTTAGATGCTTCCTTCAGTCTCCAGTACAAATTCTTATTACTTAGCATTACCCTGACTTGCATTACCCTGACTTATATATCAAACATGTGTGACTTGCCAGCCAGTTCAGGAATTGCTTAGTATAAGAGTGTAGTCTCAGTTATGTCCTCCTTCTTGATTGTTCATATAAAATATATTAAGAACTTGACTAATTGATTGATTGATTGATTAATGGTTAATATGGAAAACTGAAGCAGAATATGATAGTTTCTCTTTCTTGGTTTCTATATACATTGTAGTATCCAGTGTGTGATGTCCAAATTAAAATCTGATGTCTATATTGGAAAGATCTCTAAAAAATAACTTTATGTTTTGCTGGAACTCAAGTGATGTCCTTCTGAAAACAAAGACAGAGGAGAAAAAAAATTAAGAAAGTTTTGTGGTACATTTTCTCCAAATTTCAAACTCTGTGACATCCGTTGATCCAGGATTAGTTGGTTTCTTTCAAGATCTATCTGTGTCTCAAAAGCTTTTTAAGTAAATCTTGAAGTCAATATTGATATATAGCAGGACAAAAAAAAAATCTATGAATTTATCAGTAAACTAATAAAGTCCAGGAAATTTACTCCAAAACATCAACTCAATTTGTTTTGAATTAAAAGGTTGAAGTCTGAAATTCAATTCCTAGTTAATTATTGTGACAGATGTGATAACTTTAGAATTGGAGCTCTACTTTAAGAAAGAAAAGTACTGTAATCATTTGTTTTCTGCATCACATACAGGTTTCCCAGTTGTTACAGGCTGTTTCACCTAAGTTTTACTGCCTTAATGTCTTGTTGATCATTATACACCCTTTGCAAACATAGGTAATTAATTTATTTTTCATTATATATAATTGCCAGACAAAAGGCATAAAAATTCTGTTCCATTCTATTCCCTGTTCCTTTTTCCAGTTCCTCAATTAGAATCACAATCCTTGTACCACCCACTTTATTTTCATCTTTGCCCTCATTAATCTATACGTACCTTTAAACTCGATCTTGTTCAGTCAGCTTGCCAAGTCTTAAACTAGGCTAGAGTATTGAAGACAAGGATGTGACCTAGCTAATATTAGGAATCTGGTCCTCTGTGCTTATGGTTTTTGAAGATCAGTTTTAAGGTTAGCATGTTTAGAAATTATCTGCATTTTTCTAGTCATTGAAATGTGTAAGCAGATATCAGAATAGTTAAGGCAGCTATTAAAGGCTTTATATTTCAGAAAATATGAATTAATTATTTTTATTGAAAAACTTATATAGAAATTGCAAAATGGAAATCTGACTATACATGCTCATATACATATTACATTACTGTCAATATGCATGGTTTTGAGGATGAAGATGGGTTGCAAAATGAAGAGACTTAAATTGTAATAATACATTTTGACATTTCTTATATCTTCTCTCTTGGTAAACTCGGCAGAGACACTATGCTGTCCCCAAAGTAAGACACATGCATAACTGTGTAATACACATTCCTTAATACATTTTAAAATTTTAATATACAAGGTGTCAAACAGAATATGTTGAGTTTTACCTGCCAAGTCTTTGTAATCCACCAAGTCAAACATTACAATAGCTACTGCTGACCAGGTAATAATCAGAGCAACAACGAGAAGCCATGCTGCTGGTGAGCTGAATGTTGTCACGAGGTCTTCTGTAACTGATTTCTTGCCCACTTTCATGGATGATGAAGGAACGGATCCATTCTTACCATCTATTATTGTTGTAGTTGTAGACATATGTCCTATGCAAACAGTCAAAGCAGAGAAAAGTCAAGACAACTTGGAGCCTAAAAATCAAGAATATGAATATTGTTTTGAAATTGCTTTATAATAAGAATGTTTAAAATAAATATAAATATCACATTCTTAAAAAAAGGTTTTGCTCTTTCTGGAAGAAGGTTTTCCTCAACTGGGCCTACTTTTAGTAAAGGTAATTTGGGAGCAACATGATGAAACAGCCTTTTGGATTTTAATATGACATTTTTTAATCTGCCACAAACAGCTACAGACCTAGAAGAGTGATTGATGAAAGCATAAAGTAACCTTACCCTATAAAGGACAGTCTTGTTAGGGGCTGCAGGTCAGATTCTCAGGTGATGTGATTAAGTGTACTTCCATTGACTGTGATGGAGCTAATGTGTCTGCCACTTGAGGATTGGCTGGAATTCTGCTGTCAAGGACACGTATCAGTGGCAGTAGAAATATATCTAATCCATTTCATCTCACAGAAACACAAATGATTTACATGTACAGTGTCCTTACAAGTTGTGAAGAAGCTTGTAGCTGATTTTTTAATATCTTTGTTTGTGGAATTTTTCACTAAATGCTATAATCTCCTAAGAAACAAGAATTACAGTGCCAAAGCAGACTTAGTTCCAGAAAGTATAGGCTTGGTGCTAGAAACCTGGTATGAAGGTGAGTACTACTTAGCTAAGTGAGCAGTTGACACACATTATCTGTTTAATGGACATTACCAAAAGTGAATTAATCTACTTCTTCCCGGGGTATTAAAAATGTTAATTCTGACACAAACCAAAATTATGGTAACTGAAGCCTGACCACATCTGAAAGTTCTCAAATTAATTTTCCTCATATAGGATAGTGATAAACTAAATGGTTTTGGTTGGCATTTGTATTTCATTATATGCAATAACTATAGTAAAAATAGTCATAACACTACAGTCGAAACTAGTAGAAGACCACAGTATCTCCACTTAGCTTAGTTTGCAACATCTACTTTTAAAATATTCAATTACATGTTACATATATTCTTGGTCTGGTTGATGAAACCAAGTTTCATAAATTACTTTCAATTATTTCAGGGACCTTTGCTCACACAGACACCTAAAATTTCACTTTTGACACAGAAAATGGCAAATATGCATTTAGAAACTATTTCTGGAGCTAAGGTACAGGCTTTTGAAGACTTTCAGACATTCACCATCACAACAGGTATGTAGCTGTTTCTGAGAATCACAACACTGATATTCTTAAAGAAATACATGAATAAACGATAAGATGTTTAATATTACCCATAGGTACATACACTTTTCCCTAAAAAACCCAAAAAAGTCTTCCAATCCTTGTGCTAATGAATACTGGTTTTGTTCCTTTTTCTGTAGAAAGTGAAAACAATATTCCAGAGTGATATTGAAATGACCTTTATATGTCTCCCATAAAACTATAGAACTGGGAAGGAAAATGTTGGTGTCAGAAGTTCCCTAACTCTTAATCTGCCGTATCTGTAGAGTTTTCGAATTCATACCCCAATCTAGTCTAGATTTCTTTTCTTTTTATTATTATTATGTAGTGCATTATGTTAGTGTGTATTTCCCTTAGCTCTACCTTTTAAGCTTGCCTCTGCACGAGCATGCTGGTACTGATCCATGCCTTGCTTTAAGCCCCAAAAAGCTGCTCTGCTACACAGCAGTGTTGTGTAAGCAGAACAAGATTGGCATATTACATGCTTTTTGTAACTTATTTGAAATTTAGTCTGATTTATAGAATGTGTATTCTGTTTATAAATAATGTCTATCTCCTAGGATAGAATGTATGCAATTTTTTTTAAATATTGTAAAACCATCACTGCTTCCATTTCTCCAAAACATTAATTTTAGATCAAACATTTCACAGTGGGAGGAAAAATCTGCCAAGTGACAACCAGCAATAAAGATCAGCTTCCTAAGTCAAATTCAAAATCAATAGCATTTTGTTACCCTACTGCATACAAAATGCAGGCAATTTGTGAAAGCAACAGGTCATAAATGACACATTATGCATTTTTTCCCCTTGGGAATATCAGTCAGAGTTTATGATGTGTAAAAGAGAATAGAAATGTACTGTTTCATGTCGACAAATCTGATTAGTACCACAGCCTATCTTCAAGGACATCCTAATGACAGATATTTGCGCAATTATAATACAAGCAATTAAAACTCTGAGTCTGTACACAGATACAGACTCAATCACCAGTCAAAGGATCATTCCTCTAGGTTTGATTCTATGTAAAAATAGTTCCTTCCTATTAAGTATACCTAACTTTTCAAATTCAAACTGCTATGTGTCTTTGGTGAAGAAAATAGTTACTGACAAATTATCAGAGTAAAGCTGCAGAGGCAAAGCTCAAGTATGCTAGAAGGTTAGCTATGGTATGCTTTTGGCTGCTGATGTAGTCAAGTCAGATTTCCCCTTGAAAACTCGGGATGTTATACAATAAAATTACCACTGCTAACATTCATTGAAGTGTGAGTGAACAGCTATTGATTCAAATTTGACTGGAAGTCAAGCTAAGAAAACTGCTGTTATACTGCTAGAGGTTCCCAATGCAGGTGTTTGCAGTATGATTCAGGTGCCTAAGAAAAATCTCCAGTGTTGTTATAGATGATTTATGATATCACAGACATCCTCACAGGACTGGCAAGCAACATCTACAGGGTAAAGATCTACTCCTGAACTGCCTAAAAAAAAACCAAAGCAAAAACCAGACAGGATGTCCTAAAGCACTGAAAATAGAAATCAAATTTTTATGTCCCTAGATACCAATATAAACAAAATTGGCTGGAGGACTTTATCTGATGACTCCTTAGAAAGATATTTTTTGCTACTACATAATCTCATGTAGGATGGATTGTATATTGATACCATCATCATTTCATGACTCCAAAAAGAAAAGGCAATAACACCAAGATGACTGCCCTCTCCCTTACAAGCATTTTGTTACTGTAGTACCTTGGTGCTAGCCTCATGCTTTTTTCTGCCTGTTTCTTTCTTTGCAGTGCCTAAGTGCTCTGTTTATTTTTATCCATCTCCTACCACTGCTAACCTCCTCCCAAAACCTGCAGTATTGGTATTTTCACAGATAGACAAGTAGAGAAAAGGGGACATAGATATGGGCAATATTTCCAGCCAGCAGTGATTCTCCTTTTCCTCAGAAAAGTACTGAAGTTAGGCAGAGCTCCTGCCCAAGAGGTCATTGGGTCACCACGTGCACAGTGGGGGAATGAGAAAAACAGGCATTTTTGTTGCTTTGAAATCACCTGATGGAGCCTACTGAGTTTGACTTTTACAATTAACAGAGATCATTCAGCTCCAGGTTAAAATCAGATTCCCGAACTTCTCCAGGTATCTTTGCTGCCCATATAATAAACATTTTCTCTCCCAAGACAAATTTCAATGTCCGTATTACAGCCAACCAGAATCCAAGTCGGTTTATTTTAGATGAGCAGTGGACCGGGTGATTCATGAGCAGATCAGTTGTCCCTGCTTTGGGGAAGCAACATCCATCATAGGAGTGGAAGGTGCAGCTGAAGGCTGTTACAATTTCAGCCATCCAATTTTAATCCACCACCACATGTCTGCCAGAGCCTCCTGGCACTTTGGGTTGTGATTGCTATTGATTTTCAATGAGAATGGGAACTTTTAGAAGTTATATATACATTTCTATAAAAAGATTACTCCGGGGATATATACCTCTGACTGCACATCACAATTTCTCATGCACACAGAACTACCCCATCAGGTCACAAATGTCACCTTTACATCAACAGATTGATTTGCTAAATTCCAAACAGCTAAAACTCAGAGATTCTTACTATTCCTCTGGTTTCAGAGTTGTCACTTAAAATACAATCTGAAGACCTATAAGGTCTGGTAAGTATAAATAAACCTTGACAATTGGTGACAACTTTGAGTAAAACATTGTGTGACTTTCAGAGTCCAGAGCGAGCTTGTAGTTCTGGCAGCTTCGATAAAATAGCCTTTGTATTTGTGAGTTGAACTCTCCTTCAGGCATAATAAGCATAGGAGTCCACGGTTAAGGATGAGTGCTTGATTTTGCAGTTCAACACCTTTTTGCATTTCAGGTTTACCTATACCTTCCACTACTCCAGTAGAAAAACAGAACAAAACCTCCAAAACAAACAAACCTACTCCATTCAGACTCATTCAGATGTAAAAGAGTGATTTTCTCTATTTTTGTTATTTCACAAGTCTTTTGTGTATAACAGTCTTAGTTCGTCAATAGTACAAAAAAAATTAAGTAAAATATTTAATGTGCAATGGCTTTTTAAGGCTAGGCAGTTAAAAAGAAGGCTAGTCACAGTACTGAAAAAAGAGGTTGTTCCCTTTTAAATAATAATATTGTTGCTAGGGCAATGCAGTTAGGATGCGAGAAACCTCAGTGCAGTCTGCTCTTAATGAGAGAGCGGGTAAATTTTGACTTGTCTGTTCCACTCTTCAGATGACCTCTCCAATAATAGGCTATAGAGTACTCTGGACTCAGGTCATTGCTAGCTCCTCTTTGACCTATTCCACCTCACTTGGAATATTTAAATACTAATTAAATAAGCAGAAAAGAGTAAAACTAACTGTATAAATTGACACTCTATGTTACGCACTAGCTCAGGCCTTGGGTTTGAACCTGGTGACTTTATCAATCCACCACTGTTGTGATAACGCAGGCAGGAGTCTCAACCTACAGAAAGGAAGGTACCACAGGGAGAAGAGGACAAGGGATTAGAACCCTTAAGTGAAGAACTGGGCAATGGATGTGATAATCTGATGCATTTTTTCAAGCACAGCATATCACCCTTAGTGAGTCCACAGACCTGCAGATATCACAATAATCACTCTTTTCCCATGCGGGGAAAATAATTTCTAACAAAAGAAAAGATTACACCTATGCCTGTTGTTCAGGTGATACTTATGCCTGACAGTGGCATCCTCCTGTTTCAACCTCTCTAGT